AATCCTAGGCTATGGTGCCCATCAGTTCAATATAACTCTCGCACAATTGTATCGCACGAAGCTCAAACCAGATGCACAAGGTGTAATTCAGCAGCTTGCACAGTGCCCGCCGCAATCAGAGCCAAGCGCGAGAGTCACCTACTCAGTCATGTGGAAGACGGAGTGATTGCCCCCGTGACAGAACCGACAGAGTGGGTACACCCAACACTGGTAGTAAAAAAGAAAGTGGAGCTTTGACTGCGCCACAATCCTCAAGAGCTCAACGAAATCCTCATGCGGGAGACCTACTGCATGCCGACGTTGGAGAACTTTATTCTGATACAACAGTTTCTATTATAAGTTTGCTACCTTGCTAAGTATGATTTCTTAATAACATATTGTGGAGTTGTTTACTATCTCGCAAAACAGATGTCCGTTCCTTCGTGTGACGGCGATTCAAGAAACCCCGGTAGCCTCTGCAGTAACTTTTTTAACCAACTGCATTCTGCCTGTTCGTTATATTTTGCAGGCATTTGTGGCTCGAGACAGAGTTGCTTGATTACTTCAAGACTTGGAAGCAAGGCACATCACACAAGCTGCAGTTCCTCTCTCAGGAAACATATGCAGCAATAGCAGTTACAACAGTGTGCACCGTTCTGTGTGAAAGGCACCTCCTGGATTCAGGATATCGCTTTGTTCCTACTGCCAAGTTTTCAAGCGACGACATCAAGTCACTGTTCTCACCCACCAGGCAGCTGAATGGGTTAAATGACCAAACAGATGCCTACGCAGCCCTGTCAGCCCTTCAAAAAATTCTGGCAACCGGCATCATTCATTCTTCGGCTAATGGAAAAATTGGAAGTGTAGTGAGCTCTCTGGGAGAAGCAATAAAGCTCCCTCTTCTCGTTTCGAAACAAGCCACTACTGTCAAGGGCCTAGGCAAGCTCCTGGTCCCTCACGTTCCCAGATTGGAACACTATCCAGGTATAATATAAAAAAAGCAATGTTTACAAGCAAGCATTCCAACATTAAGTGCCAAGTTTAGGCACTGTGTGCATGTAGGATAAAACTAGGGAAAGGTTTACACCAAATTTCTACAAGTTCTACAAACATACTGCTATCACACAATTATATCAAATACAAGTTCGCCAATATTTATTTTCTAAAATTTTGACCTTACTTCAATTGCAATAAAGCTGTTGCACCACTCATTTGAACTCTTGGCGGTTTGTGGGCACTATATGTAAATCACTAACAGTTATCCTAAGCAAAGATTTTTTTTTTTTACTATCTTAATATTTTACTCTATAGGTATTCGTTGAAATGAGCATGTCACCATCCTCTAATGCCCACGTTATTTTACAGGCGCGCCACAGAAGAGCCTGCGATCGAGCACGCTGGCACTGATTACTGGTTTTCTGGTCAGAGCCATTCAAGACAACATTCACTGTAAGGGTTGCTTCATTAAGCTGCCAGCTCCAACCCCATGCCCCACGACCACAGCACTTATTGCAGGCATAGATAGAGGAGGGCTGTCATACCCCACTTTGGCTTCTGTGGGGTTCGTCAGCCACCTTGAAAGTGCTGCCTCCGGCATGGCTCCTGTTCGTGTAGGGGGGCCACAACCATTAAAGAAGTTTGTGAGCCTAGTGCTTCCTGCCGTTGTGAAGAAAGACAAGACTGTGCCGCATAGGATGGGCCTCCTTAACGTCATTCTGCGGAAGTTTATGAGGCCATTTTTGTCGAACATTGCCAGCAAGCTCACAGAGACCCAGGCAAAGAGAAAGCTTCTGCAATCCAAGCTAACATCGCGAAAAACCTTGAAAGTGTGAGCAACAGATGCTGCTAGATCTGCTGAGATGGTTCAATTAAACAAATGTGTGTGAATGAAGACTGTTCAATTAAACGAATATGTTAGTGAATAGAGTCTTCAATAAAACCCATGTTTGTGAAATGCTTGTACTATGTGCCTTCTTTTACAAAACAATTACCCTTGAGATGTTTAATACTGAGAAAAGCTTTTCAAGGTGACACTTTCCTCAAGGAATGGTCTAACCACTCGTATCTATTAATCAATGTTTAAAAACAAATGTGCGCTCACTACTCTGCGAAAGAGTGTGTAGGAGCAATGATTTTAGTGTCAAACTGGAATCAGACAGCTTCTTAATGAATGGATGAATATGTTAACTATGCCCATAACCCACGTAATTGCATTGAGAGCATTTAAAAACGCAAAAGAAGAAGAAAACACAAAAAAAAATTATTATGGAAAATCTAATTCATTAGAGCCACGGCCATGAGTACAGCCTCCAGGAGCTTATTTCAGAATACAAACTATCCTGCCCTGTAAGATCTCATTATGGCGTACATGCAGATGTGCTTTCTGTGGCGAGGCACTGGCGGCCCCCTTGCACGGCACTCAGTCCCTTCCAAGCTGTCACGTTATATTTCTAGGGACGTGTGCTACTGTAGAAAGAGGCAGAGCGACCTGGTCGCCCCTCTAAAGCCGGTCGTGGATTGAACACGGCACGCACGGTATATGGAAAAAGGAAGTAAATGCTTATGCATACTGTTATTCACCCTAATATGGATGAATAATGATCATGCAAACATTTCAATATGCAGGTGTCCCTCAGCTATGTCCGAGAGGTGGCCCAAAGGGAGGGAATAAGTGCACTGAAGCTTGCTCCGCATCTCAAAGACAAGCATCTAGACCTTAACCGTTACGAAAAAATTAGTCTGTCTTCGGCCCTAGCTGTCCTGAACCATAGCACCGGGTCAGCAATTTGAGTACCTGTTGAAGAAGGAAAGATGTCTCCTGCTGCAATCACCACGGCATGGTTTCTTGAGACTGTTTTTAAGTGGTTTCACCTAATGATATCTGGTAAGAAAAGCCTTGCAATGAGTGAGCTCAACTGTCAGAAACATGACAATGCCATAGAGTTCCTGAGCGAGGTGCTGGATCTCTTCAAGAAAATGACCATTCATCTGCCAGGCAGGAGTCCTTCCTGGAAGCCGGTACAGACGGGAGTCGTGATCTCGACAACCGCAGCTCTTTCTTTGCAGAACCTGTATTTGATGCAGAACAACTTCAAGTGCCTGTTCCTTAGCCGACTGACCCAAGATGCCCTCGAGAACCTTTTCAGTGTGATTATGATATAAACCGGAATATAGGTCAAACTTTTTTTCGGAAATGCACTCAAAAAAGTTTACCCTCATCTTATATACCGGATATTGCCAGAGAAACGAAACAAGTCTGGCAACTATGAGTGCCTCATTCAGCCATTTACTTTTTGTTGTGCTACTTCACTACTTTTCTTTTGTTCGTCCATCACGTTGCGGTCGTCGTTGCTGTTTCCTGAGTGAAAATGAGTGGAAGTAGGTGGCAGTTTACAGTAGTCCAAGAGAAAAGCAATCACATATGCAGAAACACATGGAAATCTGGCGGCATAACGGGAGTATCAGAGAAGAGCGTGCGCAACTGGCGAGGCCAGAAACAAAAGCTGTCGGCCTGCAGCAACACCAAGAAAACCTTTTTCCATAGACGAACTGCGGTCTTCCCCGATTTGGAGAAAGAGGTAGCAGAGTTTGTTCGGCAGCTGCATGCCAGATCGCTACCCGTGACATCCGACTGCATCTGCATAAAAGCAGTTGAGGTCGCTTGTGCCTCTGTACTTTCCATGGAGCAATTCAAGGGAACAGCATCATGGACACAACGATTTACGAAGCGAAGGGGCTTTTGCTCTTCGGCGGCGTACATCCATCCGCCAGAAACTGCCCGAAGGATACCAATAGAAGCTCACTGACTTCCAGCAGTATGTCATCAAACTTCACCAGAAGACACCCCTACATGTTGGGAGAAATTGGAAACGCCGACGAGACACTTGTGTGGTTCGACATGCCATCCAATTGCACTGTGTCCGAGAAAGGAGCGAAGCAAGTCAAGCTTCTCGCTTCTCAAGCACTCACGCCTCACGGTAATGCTCGCGTGTACCGCTGACGGTAGAAAGCTGCCCCCTTTCATAATTTTTAAAAAGAAAACCCTGCCAAGGAGGACTTCCCTTGCAACGTCATAGTCCGGCTGAACAAGAAAGGCTTTATGAATGAATCGTTGATGTTGGAGTGGATCCGAATTGTGTGGAATCGACGGCCCAGTGCACTTTTCGGGCGACCAAGCATGTTGGCCCTCGATTTGTTTCAAGGCCATCTGACCACTCCTGTCAAGCAGGCTTTGCGCAAAGGCAAGACAAACTTGGTAGTCATCCCCGGTGGAATGACATCTGTGCTACAGCAACTGGATGTTGCACTCAACAAACCATTCAAGGATCGAATGCGTGAACTTTATACCGAGTGGATGATGGCCGATAATCCGAGGACACCCGCCGGCCACTTGCAACGACCTCCCCTCCCGACCGTCTGTGTTTGGGTGTCGTCGGCGTGGAAGTCGCTTACGAACAAAATGGTGTGCAAGTCACTTCGCAAGTGTAGCATTAGCAACGCGGTTGACGGCACTGAAGATGATGTGTTGTAGAATTCAGACAGCAACAATCACTCGACCCCGGACGAAGGTTCGGAAGAATCTGAGCAACGCTCCTGCAGAGCGTTACTGAGATTGTTCAGAGCAGTCAGCAGTGCAAAGAAAATAAAAGTGCCGTGATCTCTCGGCGGGCTTTATTCCTATTTTTTTTTCTAGGTAAGATTGTGTTTTTTAGCTGAAAAAACTTTTTTTATTTTTACAATTTGTAAATTGAGGGTTTGACCTATATTCCGGTTTGACCTATATTCCAGCTTTTACGGTAGGCAAAAGAATGCAACCCCCCGCCTCTGCAATTCAAGACTGCCTTGCGTACAATCACGCTTTCACAATTCTTCCAGAACTGTAGGACGGGGAACTATGAGATGGACGGTGCGGCATACCTTGCAGATTTCATTTAGAAACAGCAAACAGAATCGCCAAACGAGCAGGTGCTGCAACAGGACGGTGTCGCAGAGATTCAAGATGAGTCCGCATGTGAACTTACCGACGATGATGACCAGATGCTTGTCCAGGTGGTCGATGACATCTCTGACAGCCAAGCGGCAATGGATGAACTGCAGTCCACAATCAAACAAACACTGCATTACCTCTGTGGATACACAGTGAGCGCCATTTGTGGCAAGTACAAGCTGTGTGAAACTTGCAGATCGACACTGACTGACACAAAAAACAAAAAGAGAATGCTTCACTAACTCAGTTCAAGTTCTACAGAGACACCAGTGAACCAAATCTATTTAGCATTGTGTCGTTACCTGTTTTTGCAATGCCTGAGAAGTGTGAGGTGATCTTTCGTTCACAAGAAGCTAGCACTGTAGAAGGAACTGCTAACCTTTCTAATTTGTCTGTTCAAGCACTGCGTGAGTTTTCACTTGACCATCTCCCAAACTGTCATGGGGTGGCGCAGAAGCTTGTGGATGATTTCTTGCTGATGAGGTTACGCATTGCTTTGCCGAAAAGCAATGAACGGTATGCTCCAAAGCAGAACAATATCAGGTGTGGAAGTCGGTAGTATAGGCATTCGAGGTAGTGTAAATGCTGTGTGCTAGCACTGTTATTCATGTGGGACGAAGGAGTCACAAAATTCCTTTTTGGTGCTTACTACAAAGTCTTTCAAAGATCTCGAACATGTGATATTTTTAGAAATGTAAGAAACTACTAAATGTGAAACTTTAACTGGTTGCATAAAATTTTTCATTTTACCTATTTATAATATTAAGCAAGTACTCGGATGTCACTTTCTGGAGGAGTCACGGAATATCTTTTTGACGCTTGCTACAGTCTCACAAACTTCTCGAACATGTAATATTTTTTGCAAATGTGCGGTACCGGGAAATGAGAAGCTTTAACTGGTTGCATGAAATTTGTCATCTTTACTATTGGTAATATTAAGCAAGTACTGGTATGACACTTTCTACAGAACTGGTTCCCCTATGTTAACATATCTGTTGCCATGTTTCCTTTTTTTTTATATGATCATTTCATGATAACATTTTTTTATCCCGGTGTTTATAACATTGTGGCTTGTGCAATATATGATCGGTTACTACTGTTCCAGAAATAGTCAGAATTCACATTGTCACTTTCTGGAGAAATTGTTCCCCCCAGATTAACATATCTGTTGCCATGTTTCCTTATTTTTATACGGCCATTTCATAATAACTTATTTTTGTTATCCCTGCGTTTATAACATTGTGGCTTGTGCAATACATAATGTCTCACTGCCTGTTTTAGAAATGCTCAGAATTCACACTGAGATATTCTTAGCATGGAATGCAGCAAAATAAATACAAATTTATTTATTTCTTTTTTTTTCTGAATTGTGTTTTCACTATTTCAGTGATGTGATTGGCCTGAGACTTTTTGGAGCACCTTTTGGAGCAGCAAATGTGGCTTTTGGAGCAGCCAAAGCAGTGTTTTGGAGCAGAAAAAGTGACTTTTGGAGCATATATCTTAAGAAAATAAATATTTGTTTTAAGTGCTGGACAAACGGAGGACACTTTGTATAGTGTTGTGACGTGACGTGTTGGGGCGGAACTCGCTGCTTGTGTTTTTGCTGCTGAGACATCCCACAAGTATACAGTGCTGTAGACGTTGCCGAGCAATTCCGAAAAAAACAAAAAAACTTGCTATCGTTTTACTGGTTCCCGACGTGGTAGCTTTTTTAAAAAGTAAGCAAACGTAAAACAATGAATTGCAAGCGTCCAGGCTGGTGCCTCTCGTGCAATCACGTTCACATGCACGTGGGGGCAACTTCGGCAAGCTTGCAGTTACACGTGCTTCCTCGCACGAGCGGAGACAACGGCTGTTCGACCGAAACCGAAACCATGCCACTCTGCTCCGTCGGCAACTGTTTCCCAAAATAGTATGCAAAATGTAACTGTCCAGCATACGACAATAAACAGTCCAGCGGAGCGTGCTTGCCAGGCCGACAGGCAAGGTGCAGGCTAAACACACAGAAAAAAAGAACCTGAGCGTATGGATGCAAGACATTGCGAATCAGGGTTAAAAAGTTCTTGGAGCGCCTAGTGCAACGACTGAACTCGAGACAAACAAGCGCGGTGTGCAGGTTCAGCATGCAGGCATTGCCTTCTTTGCTTTAGCTCACTTCTCGTCATCAACTTTCTTTCGCGGCAGATTTTTCACGTACCGGGGTCCCTCTCGAAAGAAAGCCCACCGAGAGAAACCTGAGTAATCAAAACTTCGCCAAGCAGTCATTGAGTTAAAGAGGGATTTTTATAGCAGCGTATGATTTAAACAAGAGCAGGAATGTCGATGCGTTTCAGTTTAGAAAGTGCCATATCTGCAGCGACGTGGGAACGGCAACACACGACGTCGCGGGACCACGGCAACAGTGGTCGCGCGAGCGCTTCAGTTCACAAAGTAACTCTTGCCGCGCAAAAACGTGGTTTTGTTTCACAGCATGACGACGGCACGGCTGGCACCCGGCACACTAACGTCGGAGCGTCCGCACACGGCCGCGTCTATCGCTAAAAAGATTTAACAAAAATAAAAAATAAAAGAAGACGCGAGACAAGATTTCCGAGACGATGACAGCGCGAAACGCGAGACGGTGGGAAAAATCATGCAAGACCACATAGACGATTGATGCAGGGTACTTTGTGTCGGGCGGCGCCTTGTGCCACCTAGTTCACGCATGCTCAATTACGGTTTTCAGTTTAGTTTCGTTCTTGAAAGGCGACCAAAATTGGTCGTTTTGCGCAGGCTTGGCGCAGATTAGTCATATTTTGGCGAAATGTAGCAGGATGTAGCAGGGTTAGCCCCTTGGCGCAGTTTGGCGCAATTGGCGCAGCAATCACATCACTGCTATTTTTTTTCATGGCTTGGGGAACATGAATGGGTAATAGAAAGAGTAATTTAATGACTTCATAATTGCACTGGAATCACAAGACTACTAAAACTTATCACTGCAGTCAACTTCACACTGCCGTGTTGCATTTCAGTTATTTAAGCTCATTGCACTGGTGGAGGTGTGCTGTTGCAGAGTAATAAATTTGATACGCAGATTGTTTTTGTAAAATTTTTATAACATTGACGGGAAAAAAATGACAGGAACTACAGTGGTTTATTTTCCGTTGTATGCGAACAGCTAAAACGAAAAGACAATACAGCACCACGCGTTTTTTGCAGCATGCTCATCTTTGTTCTACAGCGCTACTGATGCTATAATATATAAATGTAATATTTTTCTCGCTCTTTTTGTAGAAACTATTGGTTCTACATACGGAAGGATGGTGGAAGTGCAGTCCATGAGGGTGTCTTGTGAATCGTGATGCCAGCATCGAAGCCCTCGATCTCCGAGCAAATTAGTTTAGTTTCATCACGCATTTAGAACAAGCGGGTAAATATGGCTGCCCATGCTTCTAAAATGTACGACAGTGTCCGAGAAAGTAATGACACATATGAAAACCCCGCAAACCCCTGTCAATTCTTCCCAGCAAAGCAATTTACTATAGTCGGTTGCAAGCTAAGAAAAAACCGGAAATGCCTCTCAGAGGAAAATGTAATCCTACGCCGAGAAACGCCAGCCAATTGTTTTCATGACGTCACGATTCTGTGAACCAATCGCGATCCTTTTGAAAAAAAAAAAGCTCAACATGGCTGCTGGCCTTAGCAACGCGATGCTATGCGGAGGGCAAGTTCGTCTGCTCCTTGCGCAGGGGGTAGCGGTGACGTCAGAACGCCGAGCCCTGATTGGCTGATCGCGCCTCCCTATCTGAGCGTCGTCTGCTTCTTTGCAACGTCGTCTGCTCGCAACGTCGTCTGCGTCTGTCTTACGTTTCCTGCGACTTTCGGAAGTGCAGAGGCCAGATTCACGAAATGATCTTACGCCAAAAATGTGCGTAAGACAAAACTTAAGAACAAATTCGTATTCACGAAACGAAATTTTCGTAAGTTTTGCGCAGGTTACGGCGAAATCCTACAACAGCTCCGAAGCTGTCTTACGCACTTCTTACGATCTACTCAGCATGGCCGGCAGCGTCGCGGTCGCGACGACCCTCGGACGTTTATTTTTCTACGTGAGCTTCTCACGCGTCCTGACTTCAAGCAGCAAGAAAAAAGTAAAAATTACTTGAAACAGAGCACGACGAACAAGAACGCTGGATCCACAGACATCGGTGAAAAGCTCCAACGGCCACGATTTCACCGAACGCGACCAAACGAGCCGGGCAGTTAGGCCTAGCAGGCACTCCGCGGCTCGGCGACAGTGTGCCCACGATTGGCTGACGTGCTGAATGGAATATGCCCAAGCGACCCTTGTGAACCCTTCCCGTGTTATACTTTGATCGCTGACCTCAATTTTAGATTAAGAGGTCAATTTCTTCCTCTTGTTATTTCCTTGTTTACCGAGGCAACGGTGACTCTCGCCGCGGTTAAAAAGCGGTGAGTCTCCGACAGACGCAGGAAAGGTAAAGCAGCCATCGCTTTGACTTGCAGACATAAAGCAGACGACGTTAACTGCGCCAACACGCCGGCGCCGTTAAAAAGTGAGGGGTCTCGCCGCACATGAATGGAGGGAAAAAGTGTTCGGGAGGGAACTTGCGGACACTAACACGCTCACTCTCGGTTCTAAGCAAACAAACCTCGGCGCCCCGGGACACCTCGCCAGTGAGTCCTTTGACTTCCCTCCTTGATGCGCGTCTGCTAGTTGTTAGACGAAAACAACGTACCGCTCGAGTTATTTCGTCTGCCCTCTCTTAAAGGCGAAGTCGAGTTCGCTCCGAAAGTCGCAGGAAAGGTAAGACAGACGCAGACAATGTTGCGAGCAGACGACGTTGCAAAGGAGCAGACGACGCTCAATAGGGGGTCACGATCAGCCAATCAGGACTCAGCGTTCTGACGTCACCACTACTTCCTTTCTCATGCGCAGAAGACGAAAATGAGCCCACTTGCGAGGCGTATAGTTTCTCGTGACAATTATTCTGCTTTTTTGCACCGTGTTTTACGTGCCCGAGGTTACGCCACGAAATCTTGATGGTATTGGCTTGCGTTTGCAGCAGTTTTTGCGCGACAACGTGAGAATCCAGCGACGCTATCGCCAACGAAAATTTCGAAGCGGGCGCGAGGCTTAGCACTGCTGAGAGGTATGTTAGACGGTATGTTAGACAGTATCTTGGACAGAAAATGAATTGGGAAGACGGTACATTGGACATGAATTTCTTTCTTCCTTTACTAAACAGCTATTTCGTTGACAAAAACGTATTCTAACTTATTTAAATGTCCTGAATGAATTAAATAAATACTGTAGTAGTTTAAGACAGGTTTCCTGGAGGAAGAAAAAGCAACGTTGCTAGCGAACTACTTTCTCGACGGCGGAGGCACTTCAGATGGGCGCAATGCGCTTGTGGGTGGAGCTAAAAGATTGTTCTTAGGTTGCATCCGACTATAAGGATGCAACCACGAAACGCGCTGCTTCCTTCGGAACAAGATGGCGGCAGCCTGGCGTTGCTTCGCACCGTTCCTCAGCTTGGCGCTACTTTCCCCCGATTCAGTGACTTTAGGGGAACCCAGTTTGAGAACCACCCCTGCTGCAGAAAACCGATTTCTTGATGTTTGGATTGAAAGTAGTTTTAATGACCTACCTTGACTTCCATGATGCCCTTCTTGAGCTCCAACGACTGGCGGATCTGTTTCTTCCTCTTCTGGCTGCATGGCCAAACAGACATGTGAGCTTTAACGGCCACTGATTGATGGATCACATTTCACGAAGAGAGTAAGGTCACAATTGTGCAATCACTTTTTTGACCAACAAATGTATTAGCAATCGTTAGGACAACTTAGACTCTTTCGTCAGTCAAAACCGAGAGCAAAATAACACATCTATGCCTTTCAGCTATTTATTTTAATTATACATAAGGGAAGACCATCCCACGTGATGAAACTTCAGCAACCACGGCTTTCATCTGCAAGTGTTGTGCCTCTTGTGCACGCGAAATTCAACTAGTCTCAATAACTGTGAGACCTAGCTATGTGAACAGAAAAAGTGATAAAGTACAAATAATAAAAAAAAGTTTGTGGCAACAATAAAATAGTTGCCACAAATTAACTTGAATCAATGGGCATGGCAGTGCTTCACTGGTTCTGCCACTTCTGTCCACAAAAAGGTGCCAGTCATTGTAGGAAGCTTGTCAAAATGGCTTTGACCTATTAACGCTGGTGGAAGCTGCACCAGCCTGAACTAAGCAGCACAAATTAGCTGATGATAAGGGGGGCAACAGGCTGCCGTAGGGCCATACTCACTGACATTATTCAAATCTAATCTCGCATCTAGAGAAACGGTAGGAGACTTGAAATGTGAGCAAAATTAACCGCATTTTTGTACTTTAGGAGCAGCATGTATAATTATTTCTGAGGAACGTCGTATTAGGCGAGAATTAACGAAAACAGGCAAGACTTGCGGCTTCTGAGCAGGTTCGGCTGGAACGCCAGGTACTTCCTGCCCGCCAAGCCGGCCATGTGACCAGAAAGTCCCTCTTGCAGCTATTTTAGCTACCGGGAGAGACAGCCGCATTGACCGGCAAACCGCCCCTAGGGTATTTCAGAGTCACTCACGGGCTGTCACTATCCTGGGATTCCTCGTCGTCCTCCTCGGCAAACTTGCGCTTCACGGGGGAGGCGGGCTTCTCGTCGTGGGGGCACATGGAGCAGATTCGGAGCCCCCCAGGATTTTTAAGACTCTTCTGCAGGGGCCCACAATGCAGGATGGGAAAACTTCAAAGGGAGACTTTGGCCTAACATTCGCACAGCACAGTATTCGTCGCCCTGAACCATGCCTGTTAAGCTAGATTGACGAGTATGCTGATAGGAAGCCGATTAAATATGTTTATAAAATGCATCGCACAATGCCTTTAGTACGGGCATCGTGCGATGAACGTGTGTGAAAGTTTGATGTTCCTATCAGCAGCTACCCATTTTTCTGGCTCGTTTTATACTGATGAAATACATTGGTGGAGAACATAAAATATGGACTTTCTAACTACCGTAAGTTCCCGAGCTGCCAAATTTCCTCAACGATCCCTGCCAGAAAGTAATCTTTGTCCCAGTTTGAGCACTATTTTGGCATATCTGAGCCACCTGTTGATGCATATTGATGAGCAAAACAGTGCCTATTAACTAGAGATGCTGCCAGTGTTGCCAGATGGAGAAAAAAAAAGTCAGCAGATTGATCCCCAAAAAGTCAGTAGATTTGCACAAAAATCAGTAGATTCCACGAAATGTGTGTTTTGCCATATAGTATAGAGTAACAAATAACATGGTAATAAACACAAATAAAAATGAAAGAAAAAAACAAGACCAGTTCTCGAGTAACTTTATATGAAGGACAAATTAAAATGGCACCATAAATCTTTTTGTTTTAGTCATTATTGACTGTTCCGAGGATTATTCTTTGAAATCGAGACTGAGGCACTTTTGGGATCACAGATGAAGGCGACCGTGCGACGTTCACCTGTCGCTATTATTGAAACGAAACCGAAACAAGACGCTCCGGCAAGTCGCGCGAACATGTCCAATGGAAGTCCTCTGCATGCTGCCATCTTTCCTTACTGGGCTGTGGAAGGTTTTTGAAGCAACGCTGTTGGTCCGGAGCACTGTTGAGGCTACGTGTCGTCTGCTACGGGCTTATTTCTTTTTCGCCTGACCCAAAGTTTGCGTTCAAACGTGGAGAAACTTCATTCGTTAGCTTTTTAAGCCACCGAGGAATAGGATTATATCATTTTCTTGCCACAGCCTGCCAAATAAAAGCAAATAACTGAAATTTGGATGTCGATCTCATGCATTCCGCCGAACGAATGAATGAAAATTGCGGCTCTCTCCACTCAACTCGAAGCTATTCTAGTAGATTGTATAGGAGCAGACGAGAGTTCAGGCGCATGCGCAAACACCTATCGCTCTGCGCCGCGGGCTGATTGGCTCACTCGGGAGAGGGACGTTACGGCGAGATCATAGACTGGCCAAACTCTCCATATATGGCTCTGGCCCGTCCCGGATGTCACCGTCGAACCTGCCCAACCTGCCGAACCTGCTCTGGGTGAATAGATAGATGAATATACAGCTACGTCACTCGAATAGGACGGGCTTCTGGGCCATCTAGCCAGTGCTTCGTTTTAAAGCGCAGCTCTTAGGGGCCCGTTCCCGGCTTGAGCGGCGTCGCCGTCGCCGTCGGCGTCGGCGTAACCAAGGTCATCCCAAGGTCACGTGACCCCCCCAAGGTCATCTCAAGGTCACGTGACCCCCTGAAGGTCACGTGACCCCCAAGGTCACGTGACCTTGGGGGTTACGTGACCCCCAGGGTCACGTGACCTTGGGGGTTACGTGGGGTCATCCTGGGGTCACGTGACCCCTCCCAAGGTCATCTCAAGGTCACGTGACCCCAAGATGACCCCACGTGACCCTTTGAAGGTCACGTGACCCCCAAGGTCACGTGACCCCTCTGAGGTCACGTGGTCTCTTCCCCAAGGTCACGTGACCCCTCCAGGTCACGTGACCCCCAATGTCACATGACCCCCTAAGGTCACATGACCCCTCCCAAGGTTATCTCAAGGTCACATGACCCCAAGGTGACCCCCACGTGACCCCCAGGTCACGTGACCTAAGGAGGAGGAGGAGAAGGAGGAGAGGTTAGGTGACCCCTCTAAGGTCACGTGATCCCCGAGGTCTCTTCCCCAAGGTCACGTGACCCCCCGAGGTCACGTGGGGGTCACCTTGGGGGTCACGTGACCTTGAGGTAACCCCCACGTGACACCCAAGGGCACGTGACCCCCAGGTCACGCCTCCCCGAGGTCACGTGACCCCCTCCCCGAAGTCACGTGACACCCCCCCGAGGTCACGTGACCCCCCGGAGCATATTAAAGAATAAGATGAGGAGAAGGAGGAGGGGTCTACCCTCCCCTCAGTACCCTTCACTCCTCCTCCTCAAGAGCTTTTACTGTCCGGTTGTAAAAGGTTTGACCTATATTCCAGCTTTTACTGTCCGGTTGTAAAAGAAAACCGACTCCGAAAAGCATTGTGCCCATTTGGAACTATATAAAAAGACCTCTGTCCCACGGCAGTGTCTGAACCTACCCCCTTGAGATTGTGAGTCAGGTACTTTGCTGACAGAGCTTTTCAGGGTTGGTAGTACGGACCACGCAAGAGCGAGGTCATTCGTGTGGCGTGTGAATGAGCGCGCACACTTCGTGGCTTTTTTTATTTATTTTTGTAGTGCCATCCGTCGGAAATGAAAGCGAACCTTTGGTAGCGGTGGTGCCATTCACATGCCTCACTCTTTTTCCCCGAAAGTCCTAATGCACATTCTGTGCTAACCAGTCTTTGTCAGCATGGTCGAGTTTGTACAATTCTGTGTACATTATTGTTTACGAGGTTTGTAGACTTCTGCAGAGAGAATACATCACTATCTGAGGGTCCTTGGCTATCGATCGATCGAGAAACTACTACAAAAACATTCGGCTGAGACACTCAAGACTGTTTACGTGTAGGAAGGCAGAAGCGTTCCCACACGGCAGCACATTCCTACAAGCAGCGTCTTCCTATCGCACATGTCGCTTCGGCGGTGACATCACGCTTCCCCACCGCGCAGGCGTGGCGAACCCTGACGGCCTCAAGACGGCTTCCGTGACAAAGCATCTGCGTTGCTATGCTTTTCTGTGTTATTTCTGATGCACAGTACTGGCTTGAATGCAGGACCCAAGCCTGAACCGTGGTTTGTGGGCCCGTGCAGGCCTCTAAATTACTTTCCCTCCCTTTTGTCACCCCTCGTTCGCTCCAAAACATTGTCCATCCCTCGTTTTCCTCTGGCGTTCTGTTTTGTTTTGTTTTTCTGAAATTGAGAGACGGCCACCCTTTTCCGGGAGGTTTTGCCTGGTGGTCTTTTCCAGTTGGGGTGATGAAATGAAAGAGACCAAACATGTCTAATCTGTTTAGGAAGTGATAGTGAAAACATCATTGAGCCAATATTGATCGCAACAGCCGAAATGTAATTCTGCACACAATGGCCGTTTGTACCTCGATGGGTGCAGCATGTTTGAGGGAGCACTCTCGACACAAGATTGCTCTACGAATTTTTGAGAGAAGCACCGGTTTTCAAGAATGATTACGTGCACAAAGCCGAAAACGACGTGACCAACAAGTGAGCCAAAGGAATTTCAGAAAACACCTATGCAGCTAAATGCGAGGTATGGTTAACATTATACACTTCGGCCCAAGTTTGCAAATATTTTTACTGCTCCCGCCCGTCTGGCCATACCGAACTAAACCAAAGTTTAATTGACAAGATTGTACCGTAATATCCCGAGTCATCGCCCACCCTCCAACCACCTGAAATTCGTTAAAAAAGTGGGGTGGGCCATGTCTCGGTGGGTGAGCACAAACACTTGAAAAAAAGCGGAAAAAACCACCTATTTTTCTCTGCGTATCTAGCGCTGATGCACAAGAGATACATCAAACTCAAAACTCGATTTAGTTTCATTGTTTTATAGAAAAAATATGCTCACGAAAGAATATTTTACTATAGCGAAGTCCGTTGCTTGCATACGCGCTAGAAACACCGCCGATCTGCATATAGCACGAACGTTTGTTCCGTGAAAGAATGTCACCATTATGTTCTCCTAGTTAGTAAAAAAAAGAGGAAGAAAAGTCTACAAGAAAATAGAAAAACCGACCAGGCGCAACGAGCGAGCGAGCGAGCGGACCAAAGAAGCGACCAAGAGCAATGCTGGGAAAGCGGGAAAGCCGGCGGTCGGGTTGGCAAACACTTTGGCGTCGGGCCAAGTCGGGCGCCTTGTCAATTGCAAGCTCTTGCGCAACTTTCTCATTTGGTGCGTACATACGTGCGTCCGTGCACGGCGGGCTATTAATGCACGGTTGGGACGCTCTGCAAACGTCTGTGTAGGACGTTCCAGCAAAGCTTTATTTACGCTTTGGCTTTGCCTAAAATATTGCACAACCGCGGGAAGAAGGAGCGGGTTCGCGGTGACCTTACTTCGGCGGAGACAGACTTTGACCTAACACTCCGCGGTTGCGTTAACAAACTTTTATTTTGTTATCTCCATCGTTTTCTTTTCGCACGGATACACGACCACTTTGGGGTCGCTCACGGAGGAAATGCGTAAACAAAAAGAAGTGTCTTTCCCTCCTTCGTTTTACTTTGTCACGGACGTCCTCCAACTGTAAGGTCCGCGGCCGCGTCATTCGGGTAGGATGAGTGTTCGCGGATCGCAGAGTCCGCGCTGGGGTATTTGAAGGGGTGGGCAATGACTCGGTGTTTTTTCGGAAATTGATATTGGCCCAAAAAATGGGGTGGGCGATGGCTCGGGGATGGGCGATGACTCGGGATATTACGGTAATTAAGTAAGACCATGCAAGGAAAAATAGAAAAGCAAATTGGTGAAAGGCGCATTTTTCACGGTTAAAAGGCATAAACAAATCACTGTGTCTAAAGATATGTCGGATGTATCTAGATCCCAAAGTCAAAGGTATGTTGGACGTAGCCGGTGAATGGCCACCGGTTTGTCAAACGCACTTTCTCCACACTCGCGAGTCGCGCTTTCTCGCACTAGCATTTACGATTAGGATAAAAAAAAAGTTTTGATCAACTCAAGCTTGTTATAAATCAATACATTTCAATCCAGTTTGAATAGCCGCAAGCCATCATCATCATCGCCCACAGCAAGAAGTGTTACGATCCCGAAGGGGAGATTGGAAAATTGGTAGAAAATGGCACATGCATATGTACATACACTTCGCATGTGGTGTGCCGCACACAAGTGGCGCCTGTCAGGAAAATGAAAGGTTGGGGCAAGTTTGCGACGTTTAGTGAACTAAAAGCTGTTGTAAAACAATACAGCGAAGAGAAGCAGGTACAGTTTTATGTATGCAATTGTCTATCTATCACAGCGGCAAAAACTAAGGTGAAGCACTTCCTGAATGAACGGCTTGAAAAGTACCAAGCGTACTACTGCTGTACCAAAGGTGGCAAGTCCTTCAAGAGCCGTAGCAGGGGGGAAAAGGAATACCAGGTAAGCGCAGCGCTGGCCTTTGTTGTTTTTTTTCTTTCTGTGCTGCCGACTCACCTTGGTCAACAAGATAGTTCCGTTGTTACATCATGAAATTCGATCTGACTGTTTCAGGAGACCTTCAACACATGGTACCCGATCACTTCCAGCACCTTTCAAATTTTCTGTTCCGCGTTCGTGAAGTGCAGGGCCTCTGACAACAGAAACTTCCTGGAGGTGATTGAGATGAACAAGAGCCACAACCATAAGATATCTGAGGTATGGAGTCCTTTAGCATATTTCGAAGTGTCAGATGCAGTGACACTTCTCAGTCTGAATTTGGTCCATGCGACATAATTTCACGGCACTGCCGTTCATTCCTCATCTTCGATTTGTTGCACCATATGCCTTTAGCAGAAGCAAACACTGCTCTTGCTGCGACTTGTTCATCTGCGTTGGTGCCTGTCATTGAACTTCACAGGAATGATGTTCCAATTTTTCACAGAAACAAAGCTACACTTCGAGGTTTTAGAAGGTAGCATGCACCACTGAAATACACATTTGACAAAAACTGAAGTACCTACATCCATGCTCTGATTTTTCCTGCTCAATTTTCATTCTACCACTCCATTTATGCCACCCTATTTTAACTTGATGCATCACAAATGGTATAGTTAACATAGACCCTCAGTCGAAAGGACAATGAAGTGAGGTCGGAGCAAGCTTGCTTGTGCTGAGAACTTTGATGGTCTACATGATGGTGGTTATGTTTGCTTGCTTACTTTGTCAGCTTCATAGTATGGAACACAGTTAACCTTCCAGTTACATACGTACACCTGTGCAAGGGTTTTATTCCAGGAACATTCACCATTCAGTCTGTTTGCAACCATTGCATGATTATACCTTTTCACTCGACTGCTGACTGACATGATCTATTAAGCGGTGGAAATGCATATGTAGGTAAATTTTAGAATAAACCAAATGCTTATATTATTGTAGGCACTCTACAGCCATTTGCCACAAACCAGAGCATTAAGAGGAACAGGGGCCAAGGATGAAGCTACAGGGCTTTTGGCTTTGCAAGCAAACAAGAAGTTGGTCAAGAAAAGGATTGAAGAGAAGAGAAGGAAACTTGTCTTGCTCGAAGACTTGTGCCTCTTCGCCCAGACCACAGACAAGAAACAACCTCATGAAGACAACAGCTCTTCTGCACAATGAGCATGGTAAGCTCCTATTATAGTGCGAGTTCTCAAAACATGAGTACAAAACTGGCCTGTTTTGGTTTGTGTTATGACAACTCTCTAGCCAATGCTCTGTAGTGTTTTGCTCTGTGGATTTTCTGTATGAGTCAAAGTACAAGTGGAGTATTTTTTCACGAAAGGATGTAGGGGCGACCAACTTACTATAGTGGCACTTCACATCATCCGGAAGGTTGAAGAGTTAGGCCTTGAGGCTGTAAGGTTGGTGTCTGACAATCATAAAGTAAACTTCTCTGCAATGAACATCCTCTGCAATGGACATTCTCTGCAATAGAGCTGGAACCTACTGTATGCCCCATCCAGTCGACAGTCAGCAAAAGCTTTTCCTTGCCTTTAACCGGGCGCATATTATCAAAAATGTCAGGTCTCAGTTTCTCGCAAGAGAGTTGACTGGCAACACAGAAATTTCTTCAAGTCACATGAAGAAATTATATAAGATGCAGGCTGGAAGCACTGTAACGCTGGTGAGGTTTTTAACAAGAAAGCACATCTACCCCACAAATATTGAAAAGATTAATGTGCAAAGTGCTGTGCAGATATTTTCACCTCCGGTCACGGCAGCATTAAGCTTTATGGAGGACCAAGCTGGGCACACGTGCGATGTGGACTTCACATCAGTTGAACCCACTGTGGAGTTCATGAAGACCGTGTACAGGTGGTCCCTCCTCATGGATATGAGTAACTGCAAACAACTGGACTGGCTTGAAATAGTATCCATTGAATACCTGTTGGAGCTAAAGAACAGTCTGCTTCGAAACGTTTCAACTAAGGAAAACTGCCATGCCCTCGTTCTGACCACACACTCAAATATTGAGTGCATTCGGTACCTTCTTCGCGAGCGAGAATTTGGGTTTGTGCTGACCCAAAATTTTTTAAGTGATCCACTAGAAGCATTGTTTGGATTTCTGAGGCATACAGCAGGATGCAATGATGTCCTTGACATAAGAGCTACCCTGAATGGCCTTGAGAAGATGCTCAAAACTGGGCTAATTGCATCGTCCAACCAGAGCAATGTAGCCAGCTCCAGCTCGTATTGGACCGGCACTCTGGTCACCTTTAACAGCAATCCAGCCAAGGCAACCATCAACTTCCTAGTGATAGCTGAAGAGAAACTTCAGGAACTCTGCCTCTCCATAAAGACCCAGCAGCCAAGTCCTGGTGCTGCAACCATCGCCATGGTGGGAGGCTTTGTAGCAAGAGCTATTTTGGAAAAGATCAACTTTGACAGCTGCAATGCTCTTGTGCTAAAACCAAATTCCAATACACCTGTGGGTTAATTGCCTATCAACCCAGGCAAAAATTTCTAACTGGGACCAGTTGGTATCTCAACTGGTTTCAACTGGAACTACCTAGTATAAACTGGGAATCAGCTGGGACCAGCTGAGGGGTCAACTGGCTTGACCTATTCCCAATTGGGAGTCAACTTGTTTGACTCCAAGTTGGGAATGAAGTAAACTGGGACCAGTTAAGGAAGTAACTGGTTGGAGCGATTACCCGGACTTCAAATGGTTTTCCCGTTTCCAGTTCACATGAGGCAATAATTTTGAGAAGTTAGGGGTGTATTTATATTTGCTAATGAAGAAAACTAAAAATATTTACTTATATAGATTTATACGTATAGGAAAATATTTAATTACTAGGTACACTCGGTATTTATTTAAAAACTAATAAATTTTAATTAATCACAATATTTTTAATTGGAAAATATAATTACCAGCATAAAATGTGTACCTAAGTGAACATTCATGTAGACATATAAAATGTATTAAAAACTAATTTAAATACCTCCACTACTTTTATTTTTTTTAATAAAGTTATGTTTTGGGCAATTGGAGCTAGCCGGTTGCTGTGGCCCGCAGGTGCGGATTAGTGTTACGCGCTGTCGACAGATGACGCCGCATATGCGACACAGGCCGGACCAGACGCGCTGGTCGGTGGGAGATAAGGGAAGCCATCACCCAAGTTGGCATTTGGATGAATGTGTCGTTATGAAAATGTCAAAACCATATCTGTGCTTCTTTGGACCCAACTGTAAACACGCTATGGTGGCAGCGGTGAACTTCGAGGATAGAAAGATGCAGTTCAGCGATCGGAAGGCACCTCGGGAAAACCAGACGGAAGAGAAAACCATCGCGGAGAGCATAATGGCAGGAGGCCTACCTTGAAAATGTTCGAGAGTTGTGAGATTGTGACACAAACAATTGGAAATGTTGGATTCCAAGGTGGGAGTGCTACCACATCGTATCAGGACTTCGCCCGAGCAACGCGCGAACACGGGTGAGCACCTTTCTTCATGCGATGAGGAGAAAAGCTGAGGACATCTTCACCGATGCTGACATATACCAGCAGCCGATATTCCTTTATCTCGCATGAATACTACCCCTGAAAGAGCGATTCAATCGTCGCAAGCAAGTGGCTATGCCCAAAAGCGTGTACGTCACAAAACATATTATTTATTTGTATTCTCCAAGTTTCCGACAATAAAGGTTTGTCAACCTTCCATTTTGTGCCATGCTTCGTTGTTGCTGTAGTTAGTACCAGCGGTAACTGGGACCAATCCCAGCTGGGACCCCCTCCAACTGGGACCAGCTGCAACTGGGACCCACTTGAACTGGGACCAGTTGCAACTGGGACCAGGTTCAATAAACCAATTGCAGGTGGTCCCAGTTGGGACCGATTAGAAATTTTCACCTGAAATTTTCACTGCTACCCCACGTCTGGGCTCATCCCTGCCCCGACAGCACTGAAGAGTTTTGTGGACATTGCACTGTAGCACAAAAAGAACATTGTGAAGCCCCTGCAATCCAGTGTGGAACGTGCTGTAAAAGTCGTGATGGACCTGCCCATTCTGACGTGCAGGGATGGCGACAGACAACACTGACAGCTCTTCTTAGAACTAATCTGCATTAAGTTTGTAAAGCCCCTTCCCACAAACTATGCAGCTGACATCACGGACACTGTCGCAAAACTGTATGGTGCAAAGCCCTTGTCAGGGAACTTCGTGAAACTCACCTAATCTGTTTTGAATAGTCACTTCTCAGAATTTCGTTTGCACTAATAAACTGTTCTTTACTCAGGCAACTGTCAATGAAATTAAGCCACTGTGTTAGTGTGGTTCATTTCAGAATGCTGCCACCGAGTGCGCAACTTAAATGGCATCAGCAAAAAAATTCTGACGAGAGCTTTTTTTAAATTACTTCCCAACTTATCATATTCACTTGCCTCACACAAGCAGTGTTACTTTTAATTCCAATTCGCAGCTTATGTTTACTTACATCTGCTGTTTTATTCTGGACAAAGCCGTTGTGTACACGCCACTCTGGCTCCACAAATGACTTACTGGGGACAGGATTGGCGCGCTGCCTGGCGTCGCAGCTTGGATCCACGCATGGCAATGAGCACACCTGGCCACCCTGGCCAAGAGCGGGATCTGACAGGCATTACTCCATAGACCCATAGCTCTCAAATTTTGAGCAGTGCTCCAAACGAGCAAAACAGAATATTTGTGGCTTGCATTTCGAACATGCGTCATTACGCTTCCCCACTACAGTTTTTTATACTCCATTCCATTATAAGTGCCAGCGTAGCAGAGGCTACAAAAGCGAGCTCCCGGCATTCAGTGTCCCTGCCAAGCATGCGAGCTCGTGCAGTGTGAGCATCATCCGGAAACGTGCTTTTGTAAGTAGCTTCGGCTTCGCTATCCCATAAAGTCAAACAGACATACTCACTAAGGCTATGAAAGAAAGCAATACAAGTAATAATGCTGTTAGGCATTTTGTTATCGCGCATCTAGAGGTGCCAACAGGCGCGTGTATTCGAACGTGACACGTGCATAGTCGGACGCTACAGCGCCACTTTTATGGTCGTATAGCGTGGATGGTGTAGCCAGAAAAACATGGTTAAGTCTTGCGGATGTGCTCACACCCCCTGCCTGAGAGTAACAGGTGTATACATGCCTTGTACGCGACGTCATATGGCACCGTACCAGCCACCATTGCTCCGTACCATTTCTGTATGTGTATCTTCTGCAGCACGCATTTCGCACCATCGAATTAGTTCTTCTTGGCAAGGCTTGCCGAGAAAAAGAAATTCGATGGAGCCAAATGTATGCTGCAGAAGGAAGGGGCACAGCAGCATGGTCCGGAGCAATGGTGACTGTAGTGACGTCAATGCAACCATCTATAGAGGAGGCGCTGACCTGACCATTGATCATTTTGCTGTTTACAAACACGGAGTGCCGCTTGCGTCCCTAGCAACTTCCCGTCACACCGTCCTTGCAAGTTTCTTGAGCTTACTTATGTCACCGATGCTAGAAAGCATAAATGCTACACGGACAACGAAGTTGAAACTTTTACTGAGCGCCTTCGGCTGTAAAATATTATCTCTTGTAGGAGACAATTTGATTTACAAGAATACTCTAAACATTTTAACAGATCTCGCACTCCTTCGTTCTTTTCGCATTTACCTGGAGACCTGGTGGTTAGACGTTTCATCAACATTTCAAGCAGCGGTGTTAAGGTGGCCTTTGTTCATTTTTTTGTATAAACCAGAAGTTCTCTGGGACGTCAAAGGCTAAAGCACCATCTGGTGGCGTTTGTCATAAAAAAGGCCCATAGGTGGTATTCAATGGACGCCATATTTGAGGTAACTGCTCCCTTCGTCAGCTCACAGGCAATCAAAAGAGCAGAAGAGAAGAAGAAACTCTCCTCTCACAGGGACTCTCCTTTGTATGTTACAGGCTTCCCCAGAGGTTGCTATTCTCCCTCTAGAAGATTATAGAAGATTAACTTTCACTCGAAATTCATAGAAAAGCAGCTTTCCCCTCTCTCTCTTCCCCAGTGATTCGAAAGCAGCGAGCTCAGGTATGACCGCCATGAACCCCCTCCCTCCCCTCCCCTCCCCTCCCCCCCCCCCCCCCCCCCCCCGCACGCTCATCACAGAAATTCCTATTGACCCTCCCCCCTTCCTCTTTTTCTCCCTCCCCCCTCCCTTTCCTAAAAAAAAAATAAAAAAATCCCGGCTACGTTATTGCTTTTTTGCGTCAATCTCTGTTGCCTGTCAAAACAGAAGAGATTTCGAACGCCACTCTTCTGTGGGGCTTTTCAACTGACAGATCTAAGAACTTTGCGGGAAATGTTCGGGGGTCGGCGTCGAGCCCGGTTCAAAGAGTTGCGTTGGTTGCGTCCACAGCGACAAAGTAGACGGGTTCGCCACACAAAAGGTGGGAAGCCACGCGACAAGCAACTTCGTGAATCAACCATGGGTCACGCCTGTCTCGTTGTCCCCATTGTAGCTGTCGTTTTGGTGGCCGTGGACGCAACTGACGCAATAGGAGAAAACCAAAGCAAAACTGCACACGGCAAAAGTATTTTTGCCGGGACTGTTTACATGCAGCAGGCTTCGCTTTGTGAAGTCGCAGCGTGCTTACCTTTAGGGAGCGTATAATATTCGCCGCACCTTTTCAAAGTCCAGTCACAGAATCACAACAGTGGCTTTGCTGAATCACAACAAATGGAACACGCCGCCAACAACAACAAGCAAGCGGCCATCTTCGTTGATCTTTATTGAGATGAAAAAGCGCAAAACGGCCGAGGGAACAAGGTTTACAACTCTTATTGTATTTTTGTTTATAGATTATATTTAACGTTAGTAATTACAGTACTGTATGACATAAAAATGTCACTAACGCAATCAAATTGTGATTAAAACTGGTTGTATGTATTCGTCAACGAACGAATCTGTTTGTTTCAGTTTCATTTTGTAGCGTGCGCGACAACACCAAAACGGGCTTTCGGCTGGTGCCAACGTTACTTTGGCTGGTGCTGATGCACCAGGCTTCGATTCGATTTTGGGAGACTGGGAACAAAAGTACGGGGTTTCATTTTGGGATTTTAACTCACTGTTGAGTTGTTTTGTTTCATAATAAACGTGGCCACACTGGCCACCGTTAAGTCAACCAACGTCGCAATGTGTTCAGCGTGATCGAACAACTTTTAGTATTTTTTTTATTATCAACTTCCCGGGGGCTGTTATCGGTCGTCACCATCCGGACCAGGACGCGCCCATCCCCATACCACCAGGTCCAGGCCCTCCCTCGGAAAGTTGACTGCCACCCCAGCTCTATATACAACATATTATTACTCTATCTAATTTTCAATATGAAAACCAAAAATAAAGTCTTAATTTTCTATGAACATTTGAAGGTAAACGTCCGGCAGTTCTCTGCCTGGTTAGGAATAGGCATGAAGCGAAAAATAGGGACTGTAACCAAAAATTTGATTTTTGGCTAGAGTCCCTATTTTTCGCTTCATGTTATGAACATTGCTCATCTCTAAATCGTTCCCCACCGCCGCACGGGCGCGCCGCTCACTTTAAAATAAAGTGGTTTTCTTTTTTTTTACTTGTACGTGCGGTACTTTCCTTTTTTTTTTTTTTCGTACATGTTGGACAAGGAAATGTAAATACTGACGTTCGTGCCTTTATCTTGGCAAGAATGTCACCAGAAACTGAAGGCGTGGAAAAGTGTTTAAAATAATATAATACATTTTATTTACAAAGTTCTGTGTTATGCATTGAATTTCGCAAAATCAAAGGAACCATGGAAAAGTACGTTGATACGAATCTCCATTCTGGTTGATTGTAATGCTGCACAAAATCAATGAGGTTTAAAGGGGCCCTGCAAGGACTTTTTACTGGTTTTTAATTTGCACCGAACCTGAGCGCACTGAACGTAGTAACTTAGTGAAACTTTTCTTTTCGCGAAATTCGCTTTATTTTAAAAGTTATAGGCAATTTAGAATTACAAAAACAAGCAAAAAATAACCTCCTTCATGACGTCGTAGGTCCTGGCTTGAGTGGCCGTGAACTAGAGGAGGAATAGTGAGCTCATCGAGCGCTCACGGCCGCCGCACTCCGTGCCGACGGCGCCAGAGGGCGCCACTAAAGCATGTTCTGGATAGGCTGTATGCAGCGGGCAGCCAAAGCGGCTTTCATTGCGTTTGCTGCGCGATTAAACACTAATTCGGCATGACACTTCATTGGCCACAAACGACAGCAAACACGGGGTAAAGATCAGTTCAGAATGGGAGCCACTTCGCGCTGCCATACCGCGAAACGGCCAAACCGCAAGACAAAGCCTCTCGCCGAAGGCCTTCGGAACGCTCGGAGCCGGTCGGATCTTCCTGTCCACACGACTGCAGCGCCACCGCGTACATCCAGGATTTTCCGTGTCGGCGCCTTATCCTACTACTCCTTTCTAGTATGCGCCGCCTTTTCCACCGCTTGGCGGCGGGTATGTTGACGGGTACCAGGAAATTGATACGGTGTGCACTGCTTGTGGAGAGGAGGACGAGACGGCTGAGCACTTGATACTCTACTGTAAAGGGCTTCACCCTATGCCTACCGAAGACAACATAGATTTAATAAAGTCATTGGGTTTTAGAGACAGCGAAGGGAGAGTGGATTTCAAGACTGTAGAGATTACCAAGCAAAGATTAAGTGAATGGTGGCAGAAATCGAGAGAAAACTAGGTATTTTCTTATTCACTGATGGCAAGGGGGTTTCATAGCCTCACTTTCTTTGCACTGCGGAGTGAATATAGATTTCACATTTAAATATTCTAAGCTTAAATTGTAAAACAAAATGGCTAGGTGGCGTAAGCTACCGCCCGATCCAAAGGGCTGAGCCGTATTCATTTATCCATCCATCCATTTCTTGTTTCCGTACTTTATAAACTGCATTTCTTTCTTTTTTTTTCATCTATAATAGTGAACAAAAACTACTTTTATAAATAATTGAAACGGTTCGCGCCACTTATATTTTGTATTTCGACCAAAGAGAAGTTTTTAGTGGCTCTGACTAGAGGAGCAGAGTAGCGCAGAGCCGTTTATACTGGAGTAGCGCAATCTAGAACGCCGTCTCTCGGTGACTAGAGGCGAACGCCCGGAGGTTCCAACTGCGGTCAGAAATGCATGGAGAACGTGAGAAAATCGTTGTTTCTTCAGTTTTGTGGGGATGTGCGGAATGGAAATCATTTTTGACATAATAATGAAACATTTTAGAATAATATGCAATAAGTTTTGTGCCATACAAGGAAGTAACTTTTTTTTTTTAAAATTGCCTGAGCGGCATCATGCAGCAGACGACACGGCGACGTCACACCATTCACGTGACCCGCTCCGGCCAACCCGAAAAGCCCATCTCCGCTGCGAGCAAAAATCGTCTGCTTCAAACGCCATTGCCTTGGAAATTGCCTTCTCAAAATTTGCACACGCATCCGATATTATTAAAACTTTGATAAAGTGTTTAGCGCTTTACTAACTTTACGACAGGCTAGTTTTGAAAAATGTGAACTCGCCGTTAGTTTTTTAATCAGCCGTGTTATGTCGATCTCCATGTATTCTCCCATAGGGCGGGCCGCCTCCTGGAACCCTGAGTAGCACGTGACTCGCGCCGAGCCGCTCTGTCGGCCATGTTGTCGGCAAAACACGGGGTTCAAAGGATTGCGCTACTCTGCTCCGTAGGAGCTATATAGTGCTCTAGCTCTGACCAGTAGTAAGCCCAGGACCAAAGACGTCACATTTTGCGCGCTTTCGGTACCGCGGGTCGCCCTCGTCGGTGGAGGAGGTTTCCGTGTCGTCCGGTTAAAATATGGCGCACTGATATTTAGCTACTCTTTCCGTGCCCGCTGGCTTGCCTG